TTCGTGCCAGTTTCTGGTAGGATTTTTCAATTTGTTTCCATATTTTTAGTATATTGGAGTTATTGTATCTGTCTATTTTGAGATAAGATATTTCCTTCCAAAAAATATGGAGACAAATTGAAAAACTATATTTCATGAGATAAGATCTGATTTCTATGTAAAGACCGATATGCATCCCTTCAGGCTTGGCAATGGAGACTTCCCATCAATTCAAAATAGTCCCAATAATGTAAATAATATACATAATACCTCATCTTATTTTTAGATATTTTAAACAGAAAATATTAAAATGTATAACTATATGTAGATAGAAAATTTTTTTTTTTTTTTTTTTTTTTTTTACTTTCCCTCGTATATTACATATTTAAATGGATTTTTTTCATTGCGTAATAACTTTTAAATGTGAAACTGAACTTACCAATGCAGGTTCAAATTCTATTGGTGTTCCATTCATTTGACAAATTTTCTTCCTAGCCAAATCTTGAAACCCTGACAAAAAGTTCATTAACAATTCAAGAAACGTTCACTATTGACACTAACCAGAATATTAACCAAAATTTCTCATTAAAAATGAATCTATAGTTGACAATGCTTCCTCCATTTTTAATCCTTCAGCCATGAGTAAAATATTGAAAATGTTAGTCTTGAAACTTGGCACCAACACACTTTTTATATTTTGAAAAATGAGTAGAGTAATATAAGCAAAGAACGCATTTCTCTCCAATGCTGCCTGTCTGTGACTGCAGAGAGTTCCAACTAGACTCTTCTGGTCACAATCAGGGAGACAATTATATGGAACCGTCTCCCTATCTGACTGAATTAATAGATTCAGTGAGGGGAGATTTCATATCTAAATTCAATAATGGAATTTTCCATGCATTCAGCACTCAACCATTTGCCATTCAAACTGAATTCATATTGCCTTGTTAACACTGGTTAGACTGCCGACTTACCAGACGACAGTGCACAATTTCAATATCATGAAACAAAGTAAAATGACATTACCTACCATTTTATATATATATATATATATATATATATATATATATATATATATATATATATATATATATATATATAATTATTTGCTACCACTCCTTATGCTAAATTTGGTAATATTTATTTGCTTTTCCATATATGCATATATGGTTGCTAATATCTAGTTATCTCATTTCCTTATATAAAATGATTGGCCACTCGTTCAACATTTAAAGAGCCCACCTGTGGTTTATAATGAAATTATGCTGAGCAGACCTTAGTTACAGTTTCTGGAAGAGAATGTGTTCTCTAGTGTGATCAAAAGTCTGAACAAGGCCAGCATACTCAAATCCTCAGTCACGATGACTTGTGATAGCACAATCATCAAGTTCTGTCTACCCAATTTCACTCAACGATGTTTGGGTCAACCTGTGGTATGGTTTTCAGGCAATTTCTAAAGGATGCTAGGATCACCTCCCTCCAGACTAATGCCATCAAGAAATCACCTTCCTGAAAAATTGACCATGATGAAATTCATACCCAGGTCTCATGGTCAGTCTAACCATTCGGCCACATACCATATATATGTGTATGTCCTATAATCCAGTAGGCTCATAGATGCACTACATTTACATAAAAGCAGTGGTGCGTCTAGTGCAAGGTAAAAGTCCAGTCCTCTTCAGAATAGGATTGGTTTTGAATCCAGAACTCTTTTTTCCCTAGACTGTGAACCCAGTCTGTCCTGCTTTTTAATCGATAGCTGGAGGTAGATGTGTTCATGCCTTTTCCAAGGGCATTAGTGCAAAGTGAACAAAACTGAATAGAGTGGGAATTGAACTTGGCATGGAAAGTGAATTAGTTATACCAAAAGTTATTGGATATTGGCATGTCAATGTGTACGCACATACAAGATTTATAACATTAAAATAAAATACCCCCATCCATCTGACACATGATGTTCCAGTTAAACAAATCTTTAAAATTTGCAATGTCAAATAACCACTTCAAATCCTTGATTGAACTATGGACATGTGGATTAATCATAAAAGAAAAAATACTAACACTTCAAGAAAAGTCAAAATTTTTATTAAAAATATGAATATATTTAAATCAGTTAACTTTGTTTTGAATCAATGAAGAAATTGACAAATCATACACGCTTTCTTTTTATCTGCACAGACGATATGTATGTCTACATATATATAAAAAAAAAAAGTATTCCATGCAAAAGTTTAACAGGTAGTTTATCAGAAACCCAGTCTCTTTATTAACCCAGGTAAGCTTCTTTTAGGGAAAAAAAAAAAATTCGAGAATGTTATAATTATATTAAAATCATACTTTTAATATTTCAGATTCCAATGGCAGCTTTAAGTAATTTACTAAAAATTACATTTTTAGCTCACAAGCAAAGTGAGCATTTCATTCTTGTCTGACTTAGTTTAGAATTTGTCCAGCTCAATATTTTCTTCAACAATAAATCTTTAGAAAAAAAAAAAAAATCTTTTTAAACAATAATGCTTAAATAAACAATATATTTAATAAAATTGAAATGTACATTTCAGCTTAGAGAGTAAAATCTCAAAGTAATTTTTTTTACATTTTAGAAAAAAATCTAGATATTTTCTTTCAGAAGCAATATTATACAGGGTGTGGCAGAAATACCTCCCACATAATGGTAAGACATTGGCTAGATGAAGACACCATTGCCACTTGCCTAGCACCACACAGGTAGCAGTTTAACATGTGGGAGGTATTTCTGCCACACCCTGTTATAAAGAAGAAATTGTTTTCAATATGTGCATCAGAGTTGAACAATGTGCAAACGCTTTATCTTCATACAAGAAGCAGGAGGAGAGAGAAAAAAAAATAATGTTCTTGGAACTTCTATATAATGTATTCTATACTAAAGAAAAAAACTTACAGGAAAAAATGTTGGATTCTTTATACACAACATTTTTATGTCTACTAGTTTCTATCAAGTTTCATCATACAACCAATAGAAAAAAAAAATAAAAAGATAAACCTGTGTTAGTAATTAACAAGAAATATACAGCTACTAATGTTTTCAATGTTATATTATACTAAACTGAAGGAGTTATTGCGGTCAATATTTTGCATGACCAGAATTTCAAATACAATCTGCTTAACTTACAAATAAAGATATTGAAGCAGATCAAATAATTTAGGATTCACAGAAGAAAAAAAATAACCCCTAAAGTTGTTTTAAAAGAAGAAAATGGCCGAATTTCATATTTTTATGGAGAAGTGAAATGTTTGTGCTCAAATATCTAAGAATTAAGGTTTTATTTTAATGAAAGTTGTCTCCCTTTAAAGAGAAAAAGTAAAAAATGGCAGTGTTTTATAACCTGCCTTCTCTAAATTTTAATGATTTTAAGTTTAACGTATCACTATTTAAAAAATGTAAATTTATTATAGAGAAACAAAAGAAAATAACAAAAACTCAAATGTTTAGACTCAATTACAACCCGTCTGGTCCTAAAAATTCAACATCTTGATGAAAATCAAAAATGGTATGAATGCAAACCCCCCCCCTAAAAAAAAAAAAAACTGAAGTCAGTTAATGCTGGAAGAAGGTCAATAGGAAAAAAAAAAAGTCAGTTAACACAGGAAGGGGGTCAGAAAAGAAAAAATAATGCACATAAAAAGTTAATCAAATACACATTCAAACTCTACATCTTTATCTTAATTCAAAGACTAAAATTACATAAAATTCATACTTAACTTTTGCATTTATAAGTGAAAGCACCTCAGAATTTTTTTTTTTAGCGGGGGTTGGGGCAGGATTTTGGATGAAAAGAAAGCAATTTTGCATATCATCTCTTATATTAGAGTAAATAAAAATACTTTCTGTACACACCAGTCAAATGAAACAATATGAAGACATGGATTTGAATTAATTGTTTAGTAATGTCTTCAATTAGAAAAAAAAAAAAAAAAAAAAAAAAGCACAAATTTCCTCCTGTCTTTAAAGAAAGGAAATTTAATTTACACGCTTATTTTTGTTATTGAAAATTTTCCTTGGCAGTGAATAATTAAGAAGAGAAAAAAAAAAAAAAAAAAAAAAAAATGGATATTTGGTATGCTATTTCCAAATTGTCTTTTTGTGAGCATAGAAAAAGTGAAAATTAATACACATTAATTTTAAGAGTGGAAAAATCACCTGGAGGCTGCCAAACAAGTTCATTTGTAGCAACAAAACAAAACAAAAAAAAAAAGAAAAATATGTATGGGGGAGGGGTATTAGTGACTGTAAAATTTGAAAGATCCCCCCCCAACCCCATTTTCCACTCTAAATATTTTTTTTTCTTCTACGTTTACAAAAAGACAGTTTAAACTGCTTTTTCAAATTTGGTGTGTGGGGGAGAAAAAGTTAAAAGAAAAACAAATGACATCAGGTTTCATGTTCATATTACAAATTTTACCTATTTTAACCCTGCCGTCTGACGGAAATATTGTTCACAAATACCATGAAGTGGTTGTATTGTATTTTGACTGTCAGCAGAAAATGTTCTTTGGTGTCTTCCACAGAGGTGTAGATTTTACAAGTATAAAGTGGAATAAAGTTTGAACCAATTTGAATAAGTTTCACCTGTTGAGCTATGACACCTTGCTAGTTGTCAAAAGTTCAAAAGGAAGCTAATTATATTTTTGCAGGGATGCACATTGGTTAGAGGAGTTGCTCTGACACTGAATTGGTAGAGATTTTGGTCGATTTGTCTTTTAAATAATTTTTGGTCCATCTTGGTTTTTGTACCATTCTGCTGGTAAACGGTCACCATATTTAAGTATTTTAAAGACCAAGAAATTTATAGCTCGAAATACTCTTCCAGACGCCTAGAGAAATCATCATACTTCACTTAAATTAAGAAAGGGGTTGACGGGAGGAACTCTTATGTCCAAAACCCCAAAGTCATAATTACAACTTAAGAGACGAGTGACGTTTCAAAATCTAACATACCATTCCTGGTGGGTCATATCTCCAAACAGTGGTTGATTAGCTTTCAGAGAACCTCAAGAGGGACATTAATCTGAAGACTTTGAATTTCACGACACACAACCTGTGAAATTTTATCAACTAAGTTAAAGTCCATTAGGTCTTTCCGAGTAACCATTCCAACCACTGCATTGTTTTTATCAATGACCACCAGATGGCGCAATCCAAGGCTCCGGAATATAATGTAAGTCCGATATAATGAGAACCTTTCTGGAATGCACATTGCGGATTGGTTTATATATGGATTCTGAAAAAGAGGAAAATGAAAAATATTTCAGCATTCTTGTTTGTACACACTCACAGACAAGGCAGGATTTCTTGTTTTGTGTTTTTATGTCTTATGAAACAAATTTAAACAAAATAATTTCCCTGTTATGTTATGCACCAAAGTGAATTGCTTGTTATTCAATTCTGTGAAACAGTTTTTTTTGACCACCTCAGTTTTATAATTTGTTAGTATTTGTTTCCAACCAAATCTAATGCCAGCTGGACTTAGAGCATGATATTCAGGGCGGCATTATTATGACTTTTTTTTGCCTGCTTCCGACAAAGACATCTTTAACTTGACCACATCTATGTTGATTTTTTTTTTTTACACAACATATTTTAATGCCATTAACTGTTTTAAATAAACTTATTGCAAATTCTTTAAATAAACTAGAATAGCTATCTTTTGTTTGTCAATAAAAATATTCTTTTAACTGTTTTACTATTTATTGCAAACCAAATTAGCACATATTTCAACAAAAGAAAAAAAAAGAGAGAGGGAGAGGGAGAGGAGAAAAGAAAAAAGAAAGGAGAAAAAAAAAAAGAAAAAAAAAAAAAAAAAGAAAAGGAAAAAAGAAAAAAATAAGAAAAAATTATAACCAGCATTATAATACTCATAATAAATATGAGTTTTTGATACTGATATCATTTCAGTCTATGAAACTATCTAGAAAATTAAAATCCTTGCTTTATAAAAGCTTGGAGGGGCCCCAGGTTGCAGCCTATACCAGCCTAAAGGATAATTCAGTCATGATGTTATTGAATTAGCTGGGGTGGCAGCCTGATAGCTTTCATATAGTGGCAGCAGCATCTTTCAAAATTACCAATTTATTGATTTCCTCTTGATAGATCATTGACTTCCAATACCAATGATGACTTGGCCTTGGATCTCTGAAAGCAACAGAGGCTATGCTAGCCATTATTGAACCTGATGACGCATTTAGAGAGAAAGAATGAGATATGAATTTAGTTCTTTTAATGATCGCAGATTTTGACAACATTGGCAGCAGGTCAACTATACATGATACTGTGAGCCAACAATCATGATAACTAAGATCTGATGATTCTGGCTACAATCCTGACAGGATATCTCGGTGTAGCAGATCAGACTCCTGTATTGATTGATTTTTTTTTTTATGGCTTAACATTTTGCAGGTTTATTTAAAGCCTGAAAATATTTTTTAGACTGTAAGAATTTTTTGGAGATAACCTACTTAATTAGCCCATAGCTGTGAAGAGAAGTGGATTCATACCTCTCCAAAGGATAATTTTTCACATAAGTAAATATAACAAACCCAACCGAAATTGGTACGTGGCTCTCCAATTCTGAGCCATTATTGATTACATCACATCCAAGCTTATAGCACTTGGCATTCCCAAGTGGTCACCCATCTAGGTACTGACTAGGCTTGATGTTTCTTAACTTCAGTGATATGGCTGTATGCCTGATAGAAGTTTGCTGGTGAATGAAGATAAAGAATAGTGCCGTCGCAATGAAAGGGGTTGGGAAAGAAAAGCAGATAGAATCTTTTAGGGCCACAACTAACTGGGGAAAAAAAAAAAATTTATTTATATATATATATATATATATATATAAGCTGTGATACAGCAAAACAATCTCGACTGAACTCTCAGAGAGGAAGGAGATTTTATAAACAATGGCTGCTGCTAATGCAATGCTCTTCTACTTGAAACGAGCTCTCCTAGCTACTGATGTCTTTCACATAGTAAAAACATTAAAATTTCTCTTCCGCTCTGCGATGATAGCTTGGGGGTAGAATCTCTGACTGATGACAAATCAGTCAGGTTTTGATCCCAGCTTGAAGCAATCAGATGTCTAGCCACACTGATTAGCTGTGATACAGCAAAACAGTCTGTCTGTGGATGACTATATATGTGTTTTCATGATGTGTGTGTGTGTGTGTGTGTTTATATATATAAAACTTTGTTCAACAATAGTTGTAAATTATGTGAGGATTTTTTTTGTTTTTGCACATTCAAAATTCTTACTTTCTAAATTTGTAATTTTGTTGAATTATCTTTTTTTTCCCTTTTTAATAAGAAATAAGGTGCTTCTTTACCAACGTCAATTTTATTTTTCCTTGTTATTCATTTTATGATTATTTTGTTAGTTTTGAATGCACAAAAACAAAAAAAAAAATCCTCACATAATTTACAACTATTGTTGAACAAAGTTTTCATGATGTGTGTGTGTGTGTATATATATATATATATATATATATATATATATATATATATACACACACACACAAATGAAAAAAAATGTGTGTGTGTGTATATACATACATACACGCATCATGAAAACTTTTTTGTTTTTGTGCATTCAAAACTAACAAAATAATCATAAAAAGAATAACAAGGAAAAATAAAATTGACGTTAGTAAAGAAGCACCTTATTTCTTATCAAAAAGGGGGGGAAAAAATAATTCAACAAAATTACAAATTTAGAAAGTAAGAATTTTAAAGAATTTTCCAAATATAGAAAAGTAGATTCTAAATCATTGTATATGAACACAGAGTTATGGTTAACAACCTCATCAAGTTCAATCTTCATAATTGTCACACTATTGTACCAAACAAAATTGAGTAGACAGACAAAAATATGGAATTAACTGCATATATCTTCATATTTGGACTGTGGCTCCTCCTCCTTTTAATGAAGATATATATATATATATATATATAAAATACCATTTGGTAGGGATAATTCCAAAATATTCTATTCAGCAATTGCAATATGTCAAGGTTATAAATATTGATACAACAGTCAGTTTTCAATTTGTGCCTGACAATTGCCACGTACATGAAGCATGAAACAGTGAGGAACAAGTGTGTGTGCACACACAATGAATTAATGGATTCTAAACCAACATTTCTTAAGCATGCAGGTCAACAGACAAAATACACATTAAGAAATGAAAAAAAGATCATCAATTTCAAATATGAAGTGTCCACTAAAATGATATTTGAAATAATATATAAAAAATCACTAGTATTTTAAGCACATGAGGATTTTCACCGTTTCCGTGTTGTATTCAAGTTGATTAAATTTCTTATGCTTCGGTCTAATAAAAACCACAGACTTTATAATAGAACCGAATTAGTTGAATTCTTGAATACAGTATCAAATATATTTAGTAACTTTATTTCATTTAATTTTACTTTTTTCAAGTTGCTTGAACCATCCTGACATCAGTTGTGGAACTGCTTAAGATTTAATCAAATTTGAATAGAGTTGATTATTTATTGTATATAAAAAATAAATACATATTGTGTACTTTTGATAAGTAGCATTCCCTGATGTTTGCATAAGTGCAACAAAGATACAATTCAGAAAATCAAGTTTGATATGAATTCTTATTGCATAATTCTTAACTATACCTTCAATTAATTATGATGAAAAAATGTCAGGGTCTTACCAGGTCAATATAAAGTTCACTGTATCTCCGATTGTCCACATAACTTTGTAGTTTCTCTTCTAGGCCTGTTGGGTGTCCAGATCGGTCAGTACGGAGCTAAAAGAATAGAGTGATCAATATTTAGGTTGGACAAAAAAGAAACAACACTGAGAACGGTCACAGTTAAACCACTTAGGTCATTTGATTGTTTCCACTGTCTCTAAAGCTTCTACCCACACTGTGGCTTAATTATTTACATTAGTCAGCTGTGAAAAACATCAGAATGATGGACCTTCCAAATAATGGAAACAAATACAGTAAAATTAGGCTATACAAATCAAATAATCAAATTTCATATTTATTTTGTTTCTTAACCATTGTTTTAAACATTTGGATCAATTGAGAGATGCACTCAAACCCAGAGTTCTGATTTTTGTGTATAAACACAAACGTCATTTGCGCAATGTATCCACAGACTCTGGGCAGGTTTCTTTATGATGATAACTCTTCAACTTCATCTGTAAAAACATCTTTGTCAGTCATAGAACAAAACACAAAACTCTTTCTTTCAACTCAGTAAAACTATATTTTCATCCTTTTGAATATGAGCATTCTAAGATTTTTGTAATTATTAAAAGGAAGGATTTTGTGAAAGTTTCACATAGATAAATTATATTAATTCTTGATCACCGAGAGATTGCTTAGATTTGTCAAAAATTTTAAGCAAAAAAAAATAAAAATAATAAAAAGGCTTATCATATTTTCCCAACATTTAACTTCGAGGCTATTTAACTTCTCGAGACACTCAAAGCTAAGCAAGAGAATAGAAGAAAACATCCGAATGCAGCCTGCCTTAAAACTCATTACACTCTACCCCATATCCAACAAGTAGACTTTTTATGCTATGTCCATTCAGGAAGTTGAGGATCATAGCTTTCCACAATTTCCTGTCCTTTGCAGCAATTAATAAATTTCATCTTTTTGCTATTTCTTCTAAACCCTGTTCTGCTATCCATTTACTCAAGCTCAATAAGTAGGTTATGTGTTGTTTTCCTCTGCCCCTCTTGCCTTATATTTGTCCTGTGAGTATCAAATTTCCCAAGCCCCCTTTCCTCATTTTGTGCTATAGAAATTTCAACTCTTTCTGATGTTAAGTATAAATTTCATATTTGTTTACATTTTCTCTAAAACTGTTTTTGCTGAGATTTCACCATTTTATATTAACTTTACTAATTTCCTTTTTATATGAATGATTCATTGTCATATATATATATATATATATATATATATATATATATATATCCAAACAAATATAACATCTGCAGCTTGACAGTACCCAATGATGTTGACTGCTTCTTTTTGGGTGCATGTTGTTCTTTGTTCAGAGAGTAGAATTGACCTAATTTCATGCAAATTGTGTAGGAATGCTGCAACCTCGTTGTTGAATATGTCTATTGCAAAACTTAGTTTTGACTTATGATGTCAAGCAATGCCAGGAAGGTTAATCAAAAACTTACCTTGTCATACTCTACCCAGGTGATGTCATAGAGTACGTCTCTTGCATCTGCACACTCAAACAGTTCCTCTTTCATTATGAGGACATTTAATTCTTGCCTGAAAAGAGAACAAAAAAAAAAAAAAAAATGTTCAAAAAGATAAGAATATATATAATTATCAAAGGATAAGAATACACTTTGAATATATTGAATGGGTTAAAGGTCAAGAGTTAAAATTAAAAATCTATCATACATCTTGTAATACTGAAAAGTTATTTCAAGACTTTTCCAAATTTTGAATTTTTTGTTGCCATGTGTTCACCAAGTCATTCTTTGGCCTTCTTCAAGTGTAAAAATCAATATGAAAAGAGAGGGGAGGTTGTTTTTTTTCTGTTGGGCATTTATATGAAAAAAATGGTGGGATTGATTTGCCAATTGACAAAGGCAAAGAGAAAAAAGGAAAAAAAGTGGAAAAAAAGGAAAAAACAAAACAAAAAACAAAAAGAAAAAAAAGAATAAAAAAGGTAAAAAATATTTTTATCTCATGTCACCAGGCCTCCAAATTTTTTTAGCCTGCATTATCGGGACAAAAAGATAAATTCATCTGCCAGTAACAAACCATTTAACACTAGTTAAAATTTTTTTTTTTCTCCCTACCCAATAAGAATACCATGCACTGAACATGTGAGTAACAAGGAAGTTTTAAGGAAAATGTAAACAAAAAAAGATACTTATACTTTGAATCAGAAAGAAATGACTGAAAATTGAGACATTATGAAGAAAGAGGGTTTGGAGAATTTGTCACTCACATATTGGCAGCAAGAGGAACATATGTAACATGCTGGTAATGTAGCTAAGAAGTTTGCATACATGGATAGTAAAACAGGTAGTGGAAAAGATGGTGAAAAGACAAACGTTAAGATCTAGAAGGGATAGGATATTGTGGACAATTATGATTGCCCACACCTTAAAAGGAGACAACACATAGAAGACGGTAGAATGAATTGGCTGAAATACTGGGATAACAAGTACAACAAAAAAGCAATAGTTAATCTTTCAAACATTAAATCATAATGTTTAGAGTATAAAATGCACATGCAACAATAGATGAGTCGGGATTTTGTTGATATATAGATAACAAGGAAAAGATATCCATGCAATAAACTGACCAGAAAACAAGGCGTTCAAATGTGATTTTCTTACAAGGCGTTCAAATGTGATTTTCTTACAAGGCGTTCAAATGCGATTTTCTTACAAGGCGTTCAAATGCGATTTTCTTACAAGGCGTTCAAATGCGATTTTCTTACCTGGTAATGATTCCACAAAAGGATTTACTAACTAATCCATTGTCCTCTACAACAGGAAAGCCTCCATGAGTCGTTTCTCGCAGAAGCCTGGCTAAAACATCCACTGATTCTCTACATTTTATGTGAATCACAGGATAAGACATCACATCACACACTCTGAATAAATCCAGATTGATTCTGAAAATAAAACAATTTCAATAACGAGTGTTACAAGACTCCAAGAATATATCAGCAGAATTCTGTTTCTTCATAGAATTAATGACTGCATGTAAAGTTTCAAGACTAAATTTTCTGGCAGAACAATTGGCAGTCAACTTGTACAAAAGGCAGATAATTTAGCCAGACTGAAATCCATACACTAAAAAGGACTGGGAACTGATTTTAGTTACTGTTATATTCCGTGCTAATAGGAACATATACTTGAAAAACAAGGTGAATAAATAAGTAAAGGTTCATTGTAAAAACCCAGTACAATAAGAATAAAGGTAACAGCTATGCACAAGGTCATCGCAAGTCAATCCAGTAGTGAGTGCTACTACCGGAAAGTCAGTAGTTCTCACATAAGTCTGAGTCATACTCAACAGATCCCAGCTAGTCAATACCTACTAGCCCACCCACAAGAATAGGTGTGGCATAAGGTAGAGTTTTACATGGGTCTTCCGAGCACATAAGCTCGGCCAAAAATATACCCTTTAAAACCTGTATAAACAGGTTCAGGGGCAGTCTACCTCCCCAAACGAGAGACTGCCCTTCAGCAGAGCCTCGTCCGGGTTCCTCTGCCCAACTGTTTAGCTGGAACAAATCGCAGCTAGTATATTTAGCTACCCCCCTACGAGGGTTGCATGTGGCACAAGGCCAGTTTAACGTGGGTTCTCTGAGCCCATAGGTTGGCCAAAAATATTCCCTTTCGAACCAGTTTAAATGAGACTGCCCTTCGGCAGAGTGTCATCCGGGTTCCTCTCTGCTCAGAAGCAGAGAGTTTAACTGTTTAGCTGGAACAGGTCGCAGTTAGTCTCTGTAGTCTATTGACTTACAGATACTTATAGGTAGTTACTACCTATAGTGTAGTCACTCATGGGGTGACAGGTTATTCCATTACATCAGTTACACACATGAAAAATATTCACCATTTCTTACACACTATAACAAACTTATTTAATACATAGATAAAAAAAATATGAATGCATAATACACATATATAAAAAAAAACAGGAAATATATTAAAAGACTGCAAGGTTCTTTTGTATTTTTTTTTATTTAATCATTTCACCCCAAGCAAGGCAATAAAGCTAATAAGACATAAGGGGTTATTTAACTTCTCGAGACTATTTAACTTCTCGAGACTATTTAACTTTTAACTACCGAGACTGTTTAAACTAGACTGTTTCAACTATAGGGACTATTTAACTTCTCGAGACTATTTAACTGTTTAGGACTATTTAACTTCGGGACTATTTAACTTCTCGGGACTATTTAACTTCTCGAGACTATTTAACTATGGGACTGTTTAACTTCTGAGACTATTTAACTTCGAGACTGTTTAACTTCTCGAGACTATTTAACTTCTCGAGACTATTTAATCCTATTTAACTTCCTCGAGACCATTTAACTATTAACTATTTAACTAATTTCCTCGAGACCATTTAACTTCCTAGACTATTTAACTTCTCGAGACTATTTAACTTCCTATTTAACTTCGAGACTATTTAACTTCTAGACTATTTAACTCGAGACTATTTAACTTCCTCGATCATTTAACTTTAACTTCTCGAGACTATTTAACTTCTCGAGACTATTTAACTTCTCGAGACCATTTAAGACTATTTAACTCGAGACCATTTAACTTCTAGATCATTTAACTTCCTCGAGACCATTTAACTCTTCAGACTTTTAACTTCCGATTTTAACTTCCTCGACTTTAACTTTAGACTATTTAACTCGAGACTATTTAACCTCGAGACCATTTAACTTCTCGAGACTATTTAACTTCGAGACTATTTAACTCCTATTTAACTTCTCGAGACTATTTAACTTCTCGAGACTATTTAACTTCTCGAGACTATTTAACTTCTCGAGACTATTTAACTTCTCGAGACTATTTAACTTCTCGAGACTATTTAACTTCTCGAGACTATTTAACTTCTCGAGACTATTTTAACTAGGGACTGTTTAACTCGAGACTATTTAACTTCTCGAGGACTATTTAACTTCCGAGACTATTTAACTTCGAGACTATTTAACTTCTCGAGACTATTTAACTTCTCGAGACTATTTAACTTCTCGAGACTATTTAACTTCTCGAGACTATTTAACTCAAGCAAGGCAATAAAGCTAATAAGACATAAGGGGTTACTGAGAGTATTAGAGAATATGAGAGGGAAAAAAAACACTTTTATGGAAAGAGAACATTAAAAGAACAAGAATTAAGAAAACAGTAGATTCTGCAAAAACTGTATTTGCATGGATCTTGTATTCTTACACTAATGGAAAAATCAACACAGGCTGATAATAAAGAACATGAGGTACTGCTGGAGCACAGGGTCAAGTGTAGTGAGGCTTTAGCTCTCATATCATACCGGGCCCCCATTTGATGAAGGCTTTGTTGTGCATGAAAGTGCACTATTTTTCTTCATCACTAGAAGGAAGTAGGTACAAGTGAGACAAATTGCTCATCTCCATATAATGAATTCTTCTGCTGATATAGTGGATATAGAAGTTTCTGCTATTTTTTTTTTTAAAATAGCATTGTAATTTGTCTGTAACAAAATTACTTAATTCTGTGTCTTCTTCTGCTCAGTCTTACACTGCAGTCAACACCGATATGAACAACACGCTTTTGCCCAACTGGACCGTTCTGCCAACTCTCACAAACTCTTAACTTTTATTCCGGTGAGACATATGCTTATGCAAATGAATACAGGCCTTACTCTCAGTCTGGTCGCACACTGCCATTTTTGTGTCTGCTGCCATGACGTTTGCCTCATCAAACGTTCATTCATACATTTGTTACAGTTATTTATACATAAATATATATGTAACTGTGTGGAAAATAGGAGAGCAAGTTAGATTAAGGATTACAAAAAAGAGCCACATAAGTCATTGGAAATATATATTTCTGAGATATGATATATTTGATAGAGTCAGTTGGCAGTAACAAATCTAAAAAGGTGGGGGGAGAAGAAACATGTGGAAATGCCTTTTCATTGGCCCATGAGAATGAGAAAGTTCCGAATTTACAAAAAAATTTTACATTCAAAATACTTCAAGAAGAATTTCCACTTAGTAGCAAACATATAGGTCTGCAAATCCTAGGATTGTAGAGTCTCTTTCACTGACTAGTAATCAGCAAAATTTGCCTACTGCAGACAATAAAAGTAGCTAATACAAACTATATGTATTGTACTATTTAATATTACAAAAAACCTTTCTCTTGACTTTCAATAAGAAACAGAGAATGTGACTTTAGTGCATTGGCCTGAAGACAGGCAATGAAGACTAAAGCAGTGAAACAACTGATATGGCCCAATGCGAAACAATGACAGGTCACCAAAATTTTGAACTACATACTTAACCACATACGTTATTATGACTGTCATACACACACAGGAGGGAAAGTCAAAAATTATCTACACTCTTGTCTAAAAATGTGTGTTGTAACCTAGGGAAGGTTACTGAATAGAATAATCACACGAATGATAATACTTAGAACAAGAACAACACATATAAGATTTGCCAGTGGCACATAGAAGTAGTCAACTGCTAGAAGTGAGTCAAGTGAATTCCACAATGAATCTCCAACTCTAGGATATCTACCAACCACCCCCACTTGGTCTGATGTGGCACAAGGCCAAATTTAATGTGGGGTATGCAAGCTCATAAGCTCGGCCAAAAATTCCCCATAGATGCCGTGTAACAATATTTAACATGGCGTACGGATGAAAAGGGTTAAAACAAAATGATTTTAAATTTTTGTCAGAAAGAGAATTATTTTCCCAGGATATGGGGATATTAGATGTGTGTGTGTGTGTGTGTGTGTGTGTGTGTGTATGTTGGTGAGAGAGAGAGTATACAGGCTGTCTGTAGATATTGGTGTGGAGGAAGAAAGGTCTGAAATTTTTTTTGTTTTTATGATAAATTTTCATTGCTGAATGAATAAATAAACCAATGTTTTCTTTTTAATTTACTGACAATTTACTTTTGTACACAATTTTGCCATTATTATTATTATTAAAGAAAGTTATTAAAAAAATAAATGAAATCTTTTGAGGTAGTAAATGAAATCTTTACAGGTAATAATTTCCGTTGGATTTTCTCACCTATTTCCCCTTGACATTCACCCAAATGTTGAATAAAATTGATTCTTGGTCTGAAATGATACTTTTTTGTCCTGAAATAAAATTCTAATTTACTTTTTCATGTAAATAAATTTGGGTGCCCAGAAAATTCAGTAATTTTGACAAGGTAGGAAAATTCAGTAACTATGAAATGAAAATGGATTGGAAATTGAAAGAAAAAAAAAAAAAAAAAAAAATATAGTTTTTACTTCTTTAAAAAGAAATAACTATTTAAAATTTAATTTATTTACTACTTTTTTTATTAAAATAATAATTTGAAAATAAGGTACAAGTACTTTATTTAAAAATATTGGAGAGGGGCTTAGCCCCCTAAACCCCCAATCTGGACATTATGGACCTGATATTATTACAGTGAGGTTATTCTACACCACCCCATAGGTAATAATACTTTTTAAAAAAAATATTGGGGAAGCAGGCCTAGGCTCCTATGCCACTCCCTTCTGCAAGTACAACCCTGCTATTGTTGTAGTGGGGTTTTATCCGGATCCCACGATTCTTAGTTGTATAACAATATAGAGGAGGGGGGGATTAGCCCCCAAATTCCAACTCCAGAACGGATGTAAAATCAAATTTTCAATCGACTTTTATTAAATAGTTACCGAATTTTCCTACTTTGTCAAAATTACTGAATCTTCCATTACCGAATTTTTCTAAATTCATAAAATTCAACTTTTATGCCAAATGTTTGGTACCCAGAAGATTTGGTTAGTTATTGAATTTTCCGTTACCTAATCTTCTGTTACCGAATTTTCCAGGCACCACTGCAACAATATCAGGGCTGTACTTTCTGGTTTGGTTTGGTTTTACGGCATATCAACCTCAATGGGTTATTTAATGCCAACAAAATTTTTATTGTTGGTAACTTTTTTTTTTTTTTCAAACCTATTTCTGGTAAAATTTTTCCTTCAAAAATTCTATTTCTGATAATAATTTTCTTTCAATTATGTATCGCTGGTAATATTTTTTCTTTTTTTTTCCAAAAATGTATAACTCGTAATATATATATTTTTTTTTTTCAAAAATATATAGCTGGTAATATTTGTTTTTCAAAAATGCATTGTTTTTTTTTTTAGATTTTTCTGTAGATCCCAATTTCTTTAATGAAATTTATGATGTTTCTTGGATTAGTATTTTTGAATAGATCCTTTAGGTTATCCAATTTGTAGTGTTTACTATGGATTTGTTGGAGATTATGGCAATTTAGTAGGATG